TGACTAGTTAAGTTTAAATAAGACTGACTGAAAATCAGTCTTCCCCTACCCCCCCCTTTTGGCAGTGTGTCATATTTTTGTATTGTAAAATAAATATTACTTTCCGCTATGGTATTTAGACTTTACGAATTTCAGCGCAGTACTAGATTGGTAACAAGGTCTCATCATTTTACAGTTGAAATGGCTAAAGGCAATCGTAAGTTCTATGGGCATATTTTTGGCCGAGACCACGGGCTCGGAATGCCCACGTTAAAAAGGCCTTGTGCCACATGACACCCTCGTGGGGGGGGGGTGACTCAATATCGTAAGTTATATGTTAATAGCTTTTTCTATTGCATTTCTTGCTTTTGAAAATCACTTCCGACTATTTGCTTCCCAATCAACATTGATCTTCCAAAATGTAAATGCAATATCAATCGTTATCTTGTGTCTTCTTAATTCCTTTTTTCTGTCTATATCTCTGATGAGGTATTATGATTACTTACATTATTTACATTATTCGGACTGTTATCCTCATCTTCATTGCCATATTCACAACGTTTGTATGCTCCGGCCTGCTTCAGGTGATTGGAATTTCGAACTGAACCCTTTATTTCGTCCACCAAATTAGATTGTTCTAGTTCTCAGTCATCTCCCTTTAACTCAAATTTCCAAGTTTTTGTTCACCTCTGCCGTGGCCAGGTATTGAACACTTTGGGTCAGCTCACTGGAGCCAGTCAACATTTTTATCCACTGGGCCAATCAAACTCCAATCACCTGAAGGAGGCTGGAGCGTACAACGACTGAAATGTTGGGGACATGACAATAAAGATGAGAACAACAGCCCGAACAATGTAAATAGTGTAAATATTTACAATACCTCATCTCAGAAATATAGACACATCCTGAAGAAGACCGGAGCGTACAATGATCGAAACGTGAATATGGCAATAAAGATGAGGTCAACAAACCGAACAATGTAAATAATTACAATACCTCATCTCAGAAATATAGACAGATCCTGAAGAAGGCCGGAGCGTACAATGATCGAAACGTGAATATGGCAATAAAGATGAGGTCAACAAACCGAACAATGTAAATAATGTAAATAATGTACATAATACCTCATCTCAGAAATATAGACAGATATAAGAGTACTGGAGTAGTTTCTTCTTCCATTCTCCTCATTTTGTAATTCAGATCTTTCCTTCTTCTAGACTGGCTGCCATCCAAAGCTCGGGAGCACAGTCTACGTTGCTGTTTAACTATAACTGTGGGAGGGGGAGGGCGAGGGCGATAAGAAACGGAACAATTTCCACGAGTATTTGTGTGAAAGTAAACGCCACAGACTAGCCCAGAATTTGAACTCGACTCGCCGATTCCACGTTCAGCACCGATAACTGTTACACCATCTGCACATCTCAATGATAACCATATTATAATTATTTTTGTCCCTTCGTTCTTTTATTAATTAGCACATAAGTTACGTCCTGACATTACTTCAGATAAGTTACGCCCTGACATTATTTCAGATAAACTAATTAATGTTTTTATTGCAACGATATGCGGAAGAAAAGGCGCCGTTTGGCTTTAGCAAAAGATGGTGTGATAACGCTCTCATATGTGTAACGTCTGCTTCCGAGAAATGGAACAAAATTGTCAAGTTCAAAACTTCATTTGCAACATCTTACTTTCGTAAATAACGACCAGCATTAATATTTTTTATTGTTATTGCCATATTTTAAGCGCAGATATTTAACGATGCAATAAGAGAATTTGTATGCATATTTTAATTGCCGTGAGCTTACTCAGTCATTAACTTAATTATTAAGATTCATCAGAAAAATTAAATAGGAAAATCGTCAAACTTTCAGGCGTGTTTCTAGTAATAATAAAAGAAAGAAAGAAAGAAAGAAAGAGAAAAGTGACAAGAAAGAAAGAGAAAAGTGACAAGAAAGAAAGAAAGAAAGAAAAGAAAGAGAAAAGTGACAAGAAAGAAAGAAAGAAAAGAAAGAGAAAAGTGACAAGAAAGAAAGAAAGAGAAAAGTGACAAGAAAGAAAGAAAAGAAAGAGAAAAGTGACAAGAAAGAAAGAGAAAAGTGACAAGAAAGAAAGAAAAGAAAGAGAAAAGTGACAAGAAAGAAAGAGAAAAGTGACAAGAAAGAAAGAAAGAAAGAAAAGAAAGAGAAAAGTGACAAGAAAGAAAGAAAAGAAAGAGAAAAGTGACAAGAAAGAAAGAAAAAGAAAAGAAAAGACAAGAAAGAAAGAAAAAGAAAAGAAAGAAAGAAAGAAAAGAAAGAGAAAAGCGAAAAAAAGAAAGAAAAGAAAGAGAAAAGTGACAAGAAAGAAAGAAAGAAAGAAAAGAAAGAGAAAAGTGACAAGAAAGAAAGAAAAAGTGACAAGAAAGAAAGAAAAGAAAGAGAAAAGTGACAAGAAAGAAAGAAAGAGAAAAGTGACAAGAAAGAAAGAAAAGAAAGAGAAAAGTGACAAGAAAGAAAGAGAAAAGTGACAAGAAAGAAAGAAAGAAAGAAAGAAAGAAAGAAAAGAAAGAGAAAAGGAAAAAAAGAAAGAAAAGAAAGAGAAAACTGACAAGAAAGAAAGAAAGAAAAGAAAAGAAAGAAAAAGGACAAGAAAGAAAGAAAGAGAAAAGTGACAAGAAAGAAAGAAAAGAAAGAGAAAAGTGACAAGAAAGAAAGAGAAAAGTGACAAGAAAGAAAGAAAGAAAGAAAAGAAAGAGAAAAGTGACAAGAAAGAAAAGAAAGAGAAAAGTGACAAGAAAGAAAGAAAAGAAAGAGAAAAGTGACAAGAAAGAAAGAGAAAAGTGACAAGAAAGAAAGAAAGAAAGAAAGAAAGAAAAGAAAGAGAAAAGCGAAAAAAAGAAAGAAAAGAAAGAGAAAAGTGACAAGAAAGAAAGAAAGAAAGAAAGAAAAGAAAGAGAAAAGTGACAAGAAAGAAAGAAAGAAAGAAAAGAAAGAGAAAAGTGACAAGAAAGAAAGAAAGAAAGAAAGAAAGAAAGAGAAAAACGATGAGAAAGAAAGAAAAAGCAAAGTGAAAAGAAAGAAAGAAAGAAAGAAGAAAAATGCAACGAGAAAGAGTGAAAGAAAGAAACAAAGAAAAGCGAAGAGAAAGAAAGACAGAACGAGAAAAGCAACGAAAAAGAAAGAAGAAAAGCAACGATAAAGAAAGAAAGAAAGAAAGAAAGAAAGAAAGAAAGAGTAAAGCGAAGTTAAAGAGTGAAAGAAAGAAACAAAAGCGACGAGAAAGAAAGAAAGATATAAAGAGAAAAGCGACAAGAGCAAAGCGACGAGAAAAAAAAAGAGAAAAGCGACAAGAAAAAAAGAGAAAAACGACAAGAAAGGTAGAAAGAAATAACGAGAAAAGCGAAAAGAAAGAAAGAAAGAAAGAGAGAGAAAAGAGACGAGAGATAAAGCCATAAGGCGGAGAAATAGATATTTAGGAGAGAATTAAATTAACTCAGGAATCAGAAAAGAAAAAAAAAGAAAAAGAAAAAAAGAAGAAAACAAACGAATGAAGCCAAATAAGAAATCGTATTGAAGACAATAACGATTTCTTATCCTGCAGACTAAGAATAGCGTTTCCTTTGCCTTCCTTTTAAGCTGATTTCAAAACTTTTCCTCCCACAATCCCCGGCCCACAATACAATATCTCAAGAAGCATAGAGAGTTAAAAAAAATTGATTTGTTCCCGGTTTTATTCAGCCTAGTGACCCCCCGCGGCACCAAAAACCGTCTGGCATCTTCCAATCTTTAAATGAACACGACCTGAAGGGACTGAATGGCAACAAAATATTGTACTAAAATTATTCTGATGTACTTTCCAAATGACAGAAGAGGAGACGTCATTTGATTGCTATAATGAAAATTTCACTGAGTCTTTCAGACGCCATTACGATTGTCTATATAATTATATTGATATTTTTTTTTTGTATATACAACTACTTCGCTTCTCTTATTATTTTAAAAGCCTGGTTCATTTTCTTTGTTTCTTTGTGTAATATATAGTAAGTAACAACTAAAAACTTTATTTTACCAATTCAGCTTTATCGCTGAAAAACGTTTATTTTATTGTGGTGGATGGTTACAAGCGAGAGGGGAGATGGGAGATGTGTTTATTTTATTACCACACTTTGTATCTTGGTTTTTCCTCAGTTTTTAAACTGAAGCTGTTCTATCAGTGATATCTGACAGCTATCCCGCCGCAAACATTAAATGAAGAGAGTGGCCGACAAAGACTGAGAAAAATTTGACATGAAATGAAGCTTCTATAAAAAAAATCATATTGCTATTCATCAGCAGGTAAAAAAAATAGATGTTTAAAACTTAAATGAAATAGAGGCAATCAAATAAATTTATTTACATTTTTTACACATTTTTACAGATCATATTTCGGTAATTGCTGTTGACAATTTGTTTGTGAGGAATAATATTTACCCGATATCAAGCCCAAGAACCACTCGATGTAGAGGGCTGCTGAAGCAGTTTCTGGTATGAGCGGTAAGACTAAGAGCTATGTTATGGTAATTTACCCACGCACGCATTAACTCTCCCATTTATAAATAGGAGAAGGTACTGCCTTTTGGAAAGGGAAGTTTCCAGCAGTCAGCTCTGACAGTCGGGCCGAACATTCTTGCTGTAACACTCTAGTTTGTATATGTTTGTATTACTGTTTCTGTTAATATATTTGTTTAACTCAGTTCCTCTCTTTCTGTCTTTGTTTCTGGCCCTAACAAAGCCACAACAAGCTAAAAAGTGCAGTTTACGAGGGTATGTATGAAAGATAACGGTTAACCCACGACTTGTAATGGTTAAGATTGTAGTGGTCGGGAAAGCATCCTCTCGGGAGTCTATTCCACAAATTAGTGGTTCGTGGAAATTAAAACTATCCGAGTGGTACACACTTCTTGTTAACGGTTGCTCTTTTGATTGGTTTATTTTTTACGTTTTATCAACCCTTTGTGGGTCATTTAAAGCCTAAATATATTTTGGATTGTAAGAGGCCGCTTACACTACCCGGTATTCCCAAGCGGTGCCCTATCTAAGTACTGACCGGGTTCGACATTGTTTAACTTCGGTGATCGAACAAGAAACGTTGTTTTCGGCGTGATTTCGCGTCTTACTAATGGAATTAGGAATGATTCGGCGTACGTGGAATGACGGGTCTTAGTTATAAAGGTTAAAATTGACGGAACTAAGGCACTTAGTCCTCCTGATTCGCCTCAGATTGCACGGCTTGCGATGTTTCGTCTGTGGGGAAGGGGTTGTGAAATGGAAAATAATTCATCACCCACAAGGCCGCGTAGACACTGCAGAATTCTATTAAACCTGGAAAATGGTAACTGGGTAGTTCCAGTACAGATATGACAACAGCTTTCCATATGACAGGCATACTGCTGCTAACACTAAAAGAGATCCCCAGGCAAACAATTACAAGAAATGCTAGAAAAAAAATACCATTGCGATTCCAGCGTCTCCGAGTTTTTGTGGGTGACCAATTATATTCCACCTTCCAACGTCTCCTTTACAGGCGAGATGTAGTAAGCCACCTCGCTGGTCTATCGCTACTTCCGTGCAGATTGCTCGGACGAACTACATTCCTTGGTTCCAAGAGGCCTAAACATCACGGCTAGGACCCGCCGTTCTACTTACATTGTAACAAACTACCCACATTCCCTACGTATTTCATCGGTGAGAAGTTCCACTCGAACAGTCTCTTCCCGCGAATCACTGAGGATGCTTTCCGCGATCAAAACAATTTTAACCCGTTCATGTTTAGAGTTAACCGTTATCTTCCCCTCCTTTCTGCATAAACTGCTACTTAACATAACCCTCTACTTTGAGTGGCCCTGGGCTTTGTACCTGGTAAAAAAATTAAAAAAAAAAAAAACAAGAAGACAAGAAAAATTTAAAAATTAAAGTGAAAGAGAGAAAATATCTATGGGAAATAGATAAATCATGTTTCAATAATTGAACATTCTAATGGACAACGCCAATGGCGGACGACCAGACAGTCACCATAATTTTCTGTTGATGAAATTTGTTTTGGAAAAAACTGAATATGTGGTGTTTTGTAATGTCTATCTACAAGGAATAAGTCACTTAGGAAAGCTAAGAATCCATCTCTTCTCTCTCCTATCCCGCAGTTATGGATTAAATAACAAGACAGATTGGGTCTTATATCCTTGGTTGGAAACCAGTCTACCGCAGAAAGAAACGGCAACCTACTGCAGGAAGATCTTATGCCGAGTCAGTCAGGAATTGAATGAGGCCTGATCACCCAAGAGTTTATCACGGATGCCACTTAACTGACTGACTGAAAATGTTTTAGTACTTTATCACGGTTATGCCATTGAGCCGATCGTTTACGATTGTCATATAGGATCCATTTCTCATCAAAAGTCATTATTCAATCGAACATATTTCGAAACGGTGAACTCTCTGACTTTCACTGACTTCAACCCAGCCTCTTGAGTGTAACCTGTTTATCAAGTTTCTCCACCTTTGTTTAAGAAATCCGAAATTCAATAACATTCATTACTTGCATTATTTACATTATTCAGACTGTTATCCCCATCCTCATGGCCATATTCACAACATTTCGGCCGCTATATCTCTGAGATGAGGTATTATGATCACTTGCATTATTTACATTATTCGGACTGTTATCCTCATCTACATGGCCATATTCACAACATTTCGGCCTCTATATCTCTGAGATGAGGTATTATGATTACTTGCATTATTTACATTATTCAGACTGTTATCCGCATCCTCATGGTAATATTTACAACGTTTTGGCCGTTATACGCTCCGGCCTTCTTCAGGTGATTTCGAAACGAAATTTATCTTTATCCACTGTGGATAAAGACGTTGGTTTGATCCAGTAACTGGACCCAAAGAGTTGTGAGTTCAATACCAGGCGACAGAGAGATGAGTTAAAGAGAAATAACTAAGACATCTGGAAGAGGCATGGCGCGTGGAACTAGAACAATCTACCTCGGTGGACGAAATAAAGGGTTCGATCGAAATTCGAAACACCTGACGAAGGCTGTAGCGTACAACGGTCGAAACGTTGTGAATATGACCATGAACATGAGAATAACAGTCCGAATAATGTAAATGGTGCAAGTAATTATAATACCTCATCTCAGGGATATAGACAAATAACATTCATGTCTTTTGTTGTTGTTTTGCAAGAAGCATTTAGATTTAATTTAAACATTACGTGAAATTTAACTATTAATAGTCATTTTTTAATAATACAAGTTCATTACGGCCATAACTAAAGCTAAGCAATAAAAATCAACTTAATTTTTTGACTCAGAAATGTAAAGCCCAAGTTCTCCACTCAGAATTGTCCCACAGAACTATAGCCTAGTGGATAAAGCGTTGATTCGTGAGAGAGCAATTGTGAGCTTTAACTGAAATCCCAAAATTAACTAAGAAAAAGTTGTTGCGGGGTTCGACCCTTTTGATGAGTTGTGGACATCTTTTACTAAATGTTTAATGCTTCTGGTACATTTGTCCCGCAAACAATATTGGCGGACTTATGTGAGTCCGGGCAAAATTAGTAAGACAACATGGACTTGAAAACAAATGAATATGCGTGTTATTAACAGAAGGAATTACATGTGTACACAATAAAAAATACATTGAAACTAGCTATAAGAATTTGATACACGTGTACGTATGTTCGAGAGATCAGTCAACAGAGAACCAAGAAAACATACGGCGCGTACGTCAGCAGGCATTCTTTATCTATGTTCGACTAGATTTGGAAACATTTCTAAGATATTTTATAGATATAGCCTCAGGCCGTAAGTATAGGGTACCCAGTGAGGATCAAACTCAGTCTTCTTTCATGTACCGTGTCACTTCAGGACGTAGACAATCACGGCTTTCCATACACCCCTATCCTTTGCAGTTCTCAATATGTTTTGCCCTTTTGTTATTTCTCCCAGACCCTGTTCTGCTATCCACTTGCTTAAGCTCGCTATGTCACGCGTTGCTTTCCCTTGCCTCTCTTCCCCTCTATCCGCCCTGTGAGTATCAGATTCTCTAAATCTTCCTTTCTCATTACGTGTCCCAGAAATTTCAGCTGCCTCTTCCTGATGTTAAGTATAAGCTCCTTGTTTGCATCCTCTCGAAAACCTCATGGTTTCTCACATGTTCGGTCCATGGTATCCTCAGCATCCTTCTGCAGAACCATACTTCTGTTGCCTCCAGTTGGCGGCTGCCATTACTGAAATTGTCTGCATACATTCGCTGTGGAAATCTAAGCACGGAAGAATGTAGTTAACGGTCTTTTTTTAACTGGTCTTACTCGTCTCAATTACTGCGTAAGAGGACTATATTGTGTGCGCAAGAATCAAGACAATTGAATATTTCAATCATAGCTATTCCGCAACGAATGTATGCAAACAACACCAGTAATGGCTGCCCGCGACACGAATGAATCCGAACTTTTACTATCGATAACTCCAAAACGGTAGATTTTATCAAATTTATGAAGCAAGATTCGAATGGAGCATCTATAATTATACATAAATGTAAGTATTCTGGAAATTTTTAATGCGAACTGAGCGTGGGTGCTGAACTACAAATTAACCAAAGATTTTTCTGTTCTTTTTTTAGCGTTATATTTGCCGACCCAAATTCAAGGTAATCATTTTAATAAAATAATTATTTTAAGATTGCGCTGGCCTGCACATATTTTGTTGCAAGCCAATTTATACTTTGCCGGTTACCACACTTGGCGTCGCCAAAAGCACCCGTAAGGAGGCGCTCTTTAAGTCTATTTATCAAGCCAGATTTGAAGGAAACATGTACAATTACATCTAAATGTTTTCTGGAAATTTTAAAGCGAACTGAGCGTGGGTGCTAAACTGCAAATTAACGAAAACATCTTCTTGTGCTATTTTTTTTTTTTTTTTTTACAAAGATAAATGATGATTCATTTGACGCCCCACCGGCTGCAGTCAAGCATCATTACAGAACGTGTTTAACACATTAACACTATTGGATGGACGAGCAATGGTTTAATTGGGAAAGAGTTTTCATTTGTTCATAATCTCGTTTTGGTTAATGCTTTTCATTCCTGCAAATCATTAAATCATTCTGGGTATGAAAGAAGAAGGATTTTAACGAGAAATCTATAACTGATAATGGATTTTCGATTTAAGTTTTATAAGTGTTACCGGAATTTATGGTGCATATTAATAGATTAAATGCTAAACAAGAAAAATGGAGAAAGGCCCAAAACTTTTTACTGATTTTGCCTTTTTGGAATCCTCGATACGTACATATTGTTGGACTCTAACTCTTTTATTTGGAAATTTCTCGTTCCTATTGAAGTCTTACCAAAAATTAGGTAAGTGTTTCAGTTCCATTTCTCTTTTCTTTTTAATATTTTGCGAATGAGCTTTAATCAGATTGAAGTTTTATAACAATATTCTGAAAGTCTCTCGTGTATTTTTTTTATTTTTCTCAATGAATGATGTTCACTTTTGGGCGCTATTACACTTTCATAACCCCCCCCCCCCCGCTTTCTTTTTAATCAGTCATTTTTTAATAATTTTACTTAGCTTTTTTTCTTCTTTGTGTCTGTTTCTATTTCTGCACCAACTACGACCTACGATAGCAGTCTTTATCTTATTCTTGGCCCCTTAAAAAAAAAAAAAGATACGTTCGTTTTTAAAGCCTGTGGGGGGTTCAAAAGTGTAATAGCGCCCATTTTTGTACCAATTACAAATGCTATCTGGAATAGTCTTGTCGGTGTGAATTTTTCAACTTATAAAATAAACGGCGGATTTTTTCGTACCGGGAATAAATTATTTGACAAATAATAAGGTTGCCATACCGAATAAATACCGTGTCGGGGAACTGGTTGGAATTGAAGATAATATAATTGAGCCCAGCACTTGTACAGTGTAACCCGGATATAAGAGAGTTGTCGGGACCGGAGACTAAGTATCTTATATCCGGGTTTGGTCTATTTTGTTTAGATAAGTAATGCTCTAATTTGGGACCAGAGAAAATCTCTTATATCCGGGTCTCTTATATCCGGGTTACACTGTATATCGTTTACAAGATTTGTTGATGATGAAATA